AGTAGATACATCTAGATTCAGTTTAAAGTCTAGTCAGTCAGGTGGTGGTGGTGCTTAAAGGAGAAGTGACTTCTGATAGTACACTTGCTCTGGAATCCTCTTGATGTTTTTTGTTTTAGACAAAGTAGTACATACTGCATTTTCTATTTAAAACAAAAAAACCTGCTGCTACAAGAAGAGATTTCCACAAGTGGGAAATTATTCAGGGCAAATCATAAAAATGATTTATCCGAAGTTATTTAAACTATACCAAGATAAATTGAAAAATATTAATCGTGGTAGGTGATGTAGTAATACAAAGTTAAGAAAAGAGAGCAACAGTGTAATTCTGTTGACTGCTCAGTGTGGTCATTGCACTGAATTTGTTGTACTATTTCACTTCCATATATTATTTTAAATACATATTAATGTAATGCACATATGTAGTGTCCCAAATCAAAATAAATGTTTGTTATTGTGTAGTCATCAATTGTATAGTCTACACAAGTTTACACTTCTCTCTTAAATATTTAGATTGAGGTCATTGATTATTTTTTAATCAATTTAATTAAATTTCAATTAACACTTTTTCTCACGGATAGTACTCAAAATTCTCTGTGGAGGGCAAAATCCATGAGAAATGACAACAAGTCGGGGGGGGAAAGGTGTTATCAAATCCTAGAATCTTTAAAATAATTAAAAGTAAAATAAAATAATTTGAACATACAAATGTTTGAAGAGACCAAAGTTTTTTGGTTTGGTGGTTTTTTTTTTTTAATCTGCCAGTGAATGTCAAATTCAAGCGTTGGACAATTTGCCTTGTGGAAAAGAGAAGATTTTCCTTGAAAGTGAAGAGCTTGAAAAGTTGGATATGTTTATTGTAGGAAAACTTTTCAAAATTTGCAGGGGTTTTTTTGTGTATATGAAGAACAGTTGGGTAAACATGAACTGTGATCTTCAAAAACCTTCACAGAAGCTGAAACTGCTTCTAAGTTGTGTGAGCTGTATGGGATGTCAGAACACTGCAGATAATTAGCAATGAAGAAATTGTTATTATCAGAATTGCAAACAAGCCTAGAGTCCTTATTTGGAGTTCAAAACTGCCTTTCTTCAGCTGTCTGAACTAGTGGCAAGGGAGGGGGTTATCCACCCAACCAGTAGAAAACAAAAAATTTCAGCTCAAAACAGACACTATAGCATAGCACTTTGACATCATTATATCATATTCCATTGGCCTACACTTTTAATTTAAGTTCAACAGCCACTTAGAATGCTTCAAGATTTATGAGCGCCTTGGCAGAGAATGTCCATCTTTTTCACTGGAGATTAGACTGCTTGGTTTTGTTGGTTTGGGTTTTTTGGGTGTTTTTTTGTGTTGTTTTTTAAAGGTATCTGGAACGTTTCTTGAGTTTGCAGTTTATGCATCAAACAGTAATATGTTTAAGCACAAATTGTTTGGAATTTCTGAATTTCCAAATCACACTCTGTGATTCTTCAAAGTTCTATCCTTCAAGTTCTGTTCAGGCTAGGCACAGCAAATATCAATAACAAATAGAAAGTGAAATTGGAAAGAAAAAACAAACAACGTAGAAAGATTTGAAATACTGTGCCAGCAAGCCATTCAAGAAAAATATGTCTGGGTACCGTTTCTTTCTGAAATATTCTGTGTCTTCGAATACGTTCCTTTTTTAGCTCTGGAAACCAGATTATATGCAGTGCAGAATTGTTCAAAGCAGTTCAGTGTCCGAAAAGAGAAATGATTTGAGCTCTTGAGATGTGGTGTGTGATTTACAGTATGGATTGGGAGTGTTGAGTGGTATGATATAATAACTGTGCTGCATACCATGAGGCATAACACAGAGTAGTGGACAAATGAAGCATGTGTTTTATAACACAGTATGTTTTTCCTTATTGTCTAAACTTAGTTTTACAATTACTTTTGAAATTTCTGTGCTTTATACCAAAGCAAACATGAAAATATGTAAATTGATTTAAATAGAAGATTAAGAGTGGTGTGAATAATGCAACTACACGGTTACATTGTACTTGCACCAAAGTAGAATTCTTTATTATGGTATTGTGACATACTTTGTGTCCTGATAACACATTTATTCTAGACCTCTAATTGTACCAGTAGCTTCCTTTTTAAGATGAAGTGTTAGAGAACTTTTTTAACTTTTTCAGAAAATACTAGGAGTGCCTTGTTTCAAGGTTCTTTTTTTGCTTCTCCTGTTAGTTTGATGTAACAAATATACCAGTGTTTATCTCTTGTGAAAGAGACATCAACAAAGATGGTATATGGGGAGTCTGGGTTTTTTCAGTGAAGAATAAAAATAATGCATAGGACAATTATAATTTTGTTCTCAGAGTGGAAAATCTCAACAAATGAGAGGAAATAAGGAGTCTTTGCTTCTTTCAGCCGTGTTCCTTCATTCTAGTTTATCTTTGCCTGAAATTACTGCGGGGGTTTGTCACTCCTGATTAATTTAGGTAAACCAGGGTTATCGTTCTTGCTGCTTTCTTTCTTGAAGGTCTGTTTCTTTTATGGCTTTACTGTGTGACAGACACTTTTTTCTGCTACAATTGCGAACACTGAAAAGAATCCCAGTTTATAGTTCTGCCAGCTTTTTGTGATATTTGGACCATTAGTGATTTCAGAATATCTGTTCTGCATTGTTGTTGTCTTGCATGACCACCTACTAGGACTGATCCTACACCGTCTTGCAATATTGAAGGAAGCTTCAGGACCCTAAAGTAATTTAATCTCTGCACGTGTCTGTGTTTTCCTTCAGGGTCTTTCAATGAAACCGACTCTGGTTTATGCATATGTGATTTTGGATCATGATGATAGAAAAGTTGGGTTTAATCTAGATATTCCTTGCTGTAAGAACACTTGCTTTGTGCCTGGCTGTGAAACTCCGGTGTTTTTGTGTGTTTGCCATGATTAAACATTTTCCACTGATTTGTGCAGAAGCATATTGGAAGACAGTCATACAAGCATTCTTTCATTTTCCACAGTCAGAACTCAAACTTAACTAAACTTGGAAATTTATTTTTATACGCAGATGATGTTGACCCATTACTTCTGTAATGGAAACATCTGGCAATTCATCTTCTATATTGTTTCAGAGTGTCTAATTTGTTGCATAAGATTTCATTCTTTAAAATTTGAGAGGGAGAGATACATCTAGTGTCATGTTGCCGTACTAGCTCAATGATTGATTTATTTTTCTTCTGGAATCATTTGGCAAACTGTCTACTACGCATCAAGATGTTTCTTAAAGGTAGCTTTTCTTTTTGGTAACTTTTTTTTTTCCCCTTTTCGATGTGGTGAAGTTCTAATGATAGTTCTCAGATTCAGCAGAATCTGTTTTTGTGTATCTGCCTGCTTTAGCAGGTCTTTCACTCCCACCCCATTAGACTTATTTCCTGTATTTATGGGAGTATTGGAGGGAGTAGGGTGGCTTAAACAAATGCCACAGACAACCATTTCCTCTTAATGGTAACATCCAAGATGACTGGAACTTACTTAATCTCTTAATTTTTGAACCAAGTTGGGGGGGGAGGGGCTGTTATTCACAGAATTTGATTGAGAAATTATTCATGTGAAGTTTAAAATTCCAGAATAGTGGTTGTGTCACTCTTCAGTCTCAGATCACACAATGCGTAATATATGTCACTTTTTATTAAAGTGTGCATATGAAATTGCTGTTATGGACAGCTTCATTTTTCCTTTGGATTTTCTCTGTGAATAAAATGCATTCTGCCAACCACTCCTCTGTGTAGAATTGATAATTATGAAATTTAGTTGTTGACCAGAATCTTAATATGCTTACCAGAGGACCTAAAAACAGTTTTCATCTCGGTTCTTGGTTTTTAACCAAAGTGATGGTTTTATGATTAGTTTATGAGATTGTCTAAACTTGATTAAGGTGTTGTTTTTTTTTTAATAAAGGAAGTAGGTTTAATGAGTGCATCATAATACTTTAACTGATAGCTGCAAAATAGTTGCATGTAGCTGGATACTTTTTCCTTATTTTGATAGAAGACTGAAATATTTCATCTGTCTAGTAGTGCCACATACAGAAACTTTCCTCTTTTGTTTTTCCTTCTGCTTGGCATCAAGGATAGTGGAATTAAAGGGAAGAAAGTGTAGAATCTCATCTGAATTAGCATCTGAGACTGAATTAATTATGCTCAGTGTCTTTTCTTTTAGGTAGTGAAACAGCTGTTCAGATTAGCTTTTTGTTAGGCTTTGTCCTTCCATAATTCTACCTCCTTCTCATTCTGTGGTTCTCTCTCCTGTTATATTGAAGCATGGGGGTGGTCGTTTTGTTTTGTTTTGCGTTTTTGTTTGTTTGTTTGGTTTTAATTGGGAGTTCCTGAAGCATTTTCATAAAACATCACATTTAACTTTTGTTTCTGGCTTGTAGGTATCCAGGAGAAATATTCTAGTTAGAAAGCAGTGGACAAAGTGATTTAGGTTCTCTGTTGTATTTTAATTTGGTTGAAATTGATGTCTGAAGACATCTGCTTGAAATGGTCTTTCCTGTACGCTGTTGCTGGATAGGAGAATAGCCTGCAATATTTTAATACAAAATATCTGCTGTTTGAAGCTTGATTCTTCAAGTTTAAAGTTAAAATTCCAAGCAGAAATGATAAACTAGTCATGCTGAATGAAAATGAGAAAATTTTCTAAATTAATATTTTGGCTAAGGGAAATGTCTTTCTTTTTAACTAGTTTAAACAATTGAAATTCTAGACATTTTAAAGATTCGGTAGATGTATATTGTACGGGAAATGCAACTTCTCTAAGTGTCTAAAGCAAAACTTCAGATATCTTTTGTATTTTATTTTCATACTGTTGATTAAAGTATAAGATTATTAGCTGAATTATCACATTTATGTAACTGTGAAGATGTGAATCCTTAATTAGAAAGTTTGACACAGTCGTTGATGATGGGTCTTTAAACATGTTGACCTATGAATGGCAAAATTCTTATTGTTGTTTTTTATTCCAGGTAGGAGAAGACAAAGAGTGCATCGTCCTCGTTCTCCGATATTGGAAGAAAAAGATATCCCACCCTTGGAGTTTCCTAAATCCTCAGAGGACTTAATGGTGCCTAGTGAGCATATAATGAATGTTATTGCCATCTATGAGGTACTAAGGAACTTTGGCACTGTTTTACGCCTCTCTCCTTTTCGTTTTGAGGACTTCTGTGCTGCTCTGGTAAGTCAAGAGCAGTGCACACTTATGGCAGAGATGCATATAGTGCTTTTAAAAGCAGTTTTACGTGAAGAAGACACTTCAAATACTACCTTTGGACCTGCTGACCTCAAAGATAGCGTTAATTCCACTTTGTATTTCATAGATGGAATGACGTGGCCAGAGGTTCTGCGGGTATATTGTGAGAGTGACAAGGAATACCATCATGTTCTTCCTTACCAAGAGACAGAGGACTATCCTTATGGACCAGTAGAGAATAAAATCAAAGTTCTGCAGTTCTTAGTGGATCAGTTTCTTACAACAAACATTGCACGTGAAGAGTTAATGTCAGAAGGTGTTATTCAGTATGATGATCATTGTAGGGTGTGTCACAAACTTGGGGATTTGCTTTGCTGTGAAACTTGTTCAGCTGTGTACCATTTGGAGTGTGTGAAACCACCTCTTGAAGAGGTACCGGAAGATGAATGGCAGTGCGAGGTCTGCGTAGCACATAAGGTGCCTGGAGTAACTGACTGTGTTGCTGAAATCCAAAAGAATAAACCATACATTCGACATGAACCTATTGGATATGACAGGCATAGACGAAAATATTGGTTCCTGAACAGAAGAATCATTATGTAAGTAAACTAATCATTTAGTATTTTCTGAACACTAATATTGTATTGAATGTATTTTTAATATATCCTGTAAGTTGCTGTTGCCATCTTAAAAATGTTCTTTCTTTAGGTAAGACCATTGCTTGCTGTTTTGTAAGTGGATTTCTAAAGACCGTGTAATTAATCCATCAATTTTCTCCAAAATATTCTCGAAATCTATATATAGAAAGGGGGAAAAAATCAGGGCGTCTGGCTTAATTTTAATGTGCCTAAAACACATGAAAGTGGGGAAGAGAAAGGGAATTTTAATGAGAACTCTCCAGTTTCTTGTAAAAGTTACTGAAAAGTAGTTTAACTGTCTTTGTGATCACATGGTGTATAGGACAGTTTTGGTATACTATCACCTGCTTAGATAGTATTTGGCGGTTAGATACTGGTACTGGTTTGATGATCTGCCTTTGAAGCTAAGACTTTCAGAGGCACTCGAAGGTATTCACCATATCTATTAACTAGAAATGCAGAAAATGATGTATGTGAACACTTGTATAGGTGTAAACAAAGTCAAAATAGCAAGAAAAGCCTGTCTTCAAGCGATCTACTTTGTATGTTTAACACAATTTCCTGTTACTGGTTGGTCTTGAGATACTAATGTATCTCAAAACATTAATAATTATCAAACCCTTGTTAGTGAGGGCGTTGTGCCCTGGTTTTTTTACCTGAAAAGTTGATTCTGAAATTATAAAAATACTTCTACATTTTTCACAGGAAAATAGCTAAAGACTATATGAGACTTATAAAAGTCGCTTATAAAAGACTGTTCTTATGTAATCGTTCTCATAATGGAGGAAAAATAGTTTTTAAGTGAAATCAATGGTATTGTTAATTTAGGAAAAATAAAGACATCTTACTAGATTTCTTGAAATAGAATTTTCCATTCAGTATTATGGAGAAAATAAGCCACAGCTGGATACCTTAACAGAACTTCATATTACAGTGAATGTTAAGATATTAGCCAGTGTCTTTAAAAGGGATTGTGAGGACTGTTGATGGCGTTGTATCTTGTAAACAAGACACTTCCAAGGATTCATTTTAGTCCTTTAAAACATAGTGCCCTTTTTCTAATGTATTGTTAGCTGATGCTTTAAGTATTAATTATCACAGTTCTTTGTTTCCTGTGTTCTTCTTTCACACTTGTAAAAAAAGACTCCACGTTTAATCATTTTTAGTTTCTCCGGGTTATAAATGCCACAGTAGTGTCAAGTAATCTTTTAAAAGATGCAGGGAATCTTTTATACTTTTTTTTTTTAAATACTCTATGTTTATACTCAATCACAT